ATATATATATATATATATATATATATATATATATATACACTAACCTTTTTAATATCTTGCAGCTGACAAGTAGAGACAGCTGTCTTAGATGGCCACTCAAAAACTTCTAAGACCCAGATGCTATTTACTTCACTAAGATGTAGAACATCAACTTTGTGAGTTATATTAAGGCATTTACTTCTAAGTACATATCACAGTGTATTGTGAGAGTACATCTCCATGTCTTTCAGAGACTGTGGACTTCTTGTTGGCAAATGTACCTTCTTAAATCATTTATTGTATCCTCAGTGTTTAGTAAAAACATAGTACACAGTAGACACCTGGCAAATGTCAAACTTAGTGGAGGAAAGATGTTTACCTGCTTCTCCTAGCAATTACAGAAGGCAGGGAATTTGATATGTCATGCTGTCTCCTGAAAACAGGGTTTTAAAATCTTGTTTTCATTCCCATTCTGGATAGAAGCTATGTGACTGAGTTAGACTCTGGACTGAAAACCCTGAGGACACATTTTGGGCAAAGCAGAAAGGCTGAAAGTGTGCCAGATGAATTGATCATAAACAAGAACAGAGAAACACATGTTGAGAATGACATTGCCCAGGAACATCGGGCAGTAATGGCCAAATCCTCTCTGGGCATTGTTTCCCCTTTGGCCATTCTGTATTCATAGACATGACTCAGAGACTGGCATTCAGTGCAAGATTTTGTTTAGCTGCCACTGTCTGCAGCAGGCCCCAAAAGTCACCAGGCCATTGACTCACCACCAGAAGCAGGTAAGAAAAAGAGTTGAAAGGCGGCAACATCAACAGGAAATAAAACGTTTTTATTGAATATCCATGTAATATGTTAAGTCATTTTTTAACAACAATCAGAAAACTACTGTGGAATTCACTACACAAAGTGAAACAAAATTTAAACCACCTCATCAAAAATGAAGGTAAAATACAGCTAAAGTAGTTGGCTCGCGGGCCACGAGCCATATGGCAGAAGAAAAGACCCCAACGTTTCTACAAGATACAGAGAAAATCCACACATAGAAACACTCAAGCAGGCAGTAAATATACACAAAGGCAACTAGGATCTTTCTAGAGCATCTGATTCTAATACTTCACACAGCGTTGTCAGAACGGAACATGTGGCTCAACTGAGGATGAATCCTGGTCATGCAGCAGGTTCAGTCACTGACTCATGAAAGATGGCATAGTACCAACTACTTCTATGGTGACAATCCATGTCTGGCAGTGTTGCAAGAGATTGCATTAACAGTATTTTAATGCAAGAAATAATGTGTATTCGGCAGCTTGAACCTGCTTGTTTAAAAGTGTTGTATCAGTGTGAACTTAAAGCTTAGATACAGTGAAATTAAATTTCAGTTTTTTATATTTAAGGAATTTTAAAAAGTCAGTCAACTCCTTCCCTTTGGTAGGGTTTGGTCCTTTAAACTGGAAAGAGTCTTGTTTGAATTTTTCTGTTAAAACCGATATTTAATCTCACATTATGACTTATGCATTTCCTATTATCTATGTTTGACCAAAGTATGGAGCATTGACAGAAGAAAGAGATGTCACTCACCTTTTGACCTTTGTATGTGTCCCAGTTCTAAAGAGTTTGCTACAACTGGACCAAAAGACCAAAGAGCTCACCTCTTCTTTGATGAGGAAAGAATAATGACAGGAATTCTTGTTTTATCAAGAAACAGTCAACCCCATGTTTGAAGCCTACTGTCAGCCCTTTTTAAAATTCTCTTTGAGTATTTTTTTTAAATGTGGCATGACATCCTAAAGTCTGAATATGAGACTAATGCTTAGTTTTCCTCCATTTTGTTTTCGTATTTGTGAAGATAAACTTACCCTTCAGAACATCACTACTCTCTGTGGCCTAAGAATTAAAGTAGGTCACAGAAGCAAGTGGGAAGAAAAGACTAGATGTGGTGTGATATATAATAAGCTGCCCTTTCATAAAGTGGTTGCCCACCATAGCAGGGAAAAATACAGAATAGTGCACAGTGCTTGACAAAATGCTGTGTGTCCCACCCCATTCTAAGTATCTTCCTTGTCCTATGCATAGCTTTTCAGTTCTGAATTGGTCCTTTGTCATGAGAACTGTTTGTGCCACACACACCTTGGGCAGTGCATTAGAAGGAATGGCAGTATTGTTACAAGATCACTACGGAATAAATTGAGTGCTATTCACTGAGGAAACTAGATTTCTAAGCACACATGGCATCACAGTGTTACACAGAGCAGTCCTTTAAGACTCTTATGGAATGACTAGTAGCTTCATAATAGTGCCATTTACTATAGATTAACGTTGAAAACATTTAAAAATTCCTCCTAAATCAAGCATCTAGTGTACATAAGAGGTTGCTCCAGTTTTCTAGAACTTGTTCTTGATTTTGTTTCACCTTTTTTTTTTAAAGGACAAATTAAAACTTACATAAGTAAAAAGAGCATATAAAAAGACCACTAGCTGTCTCTTTTGGCTTAACTGAAGTGCATTCAGAACTATGGCTAATTGTTTTTTCATCTTTTGATGGGATTACAATACTGTTTACCACAAAGCAATTTTGTGTAATAAGCACAGATTGCTGTGTTAAAAATATTCTGCATTCCTTCTAATCTGGTTCATAATAAAATATTTTGTTATAAAGTCTAATGTGCAAACCTTTTAGGATTATTATCAATGTGAAATCTGGAACAGAATTCACAGGATGCACATTTTATATAAAGGTGATAATGGAGAGCCACTTTTTTCTTTTTAAATAGTCAGGCAATATTTCAGAAGTGCTGACTTCTCCCTCAGCTTCTTCCCAGTCCCCCACCATCCCCAAACGAATGTGCGCGCGCACACACACGGAACACCATCGTGTTGTTGATTTATATGCAGTAATGTGAAACCATTGACTCCTGTTTGATTGCTTTCTTGAATGTAAGAGTGAAGCCATGATTTTAGCTTTGTAGATATGTACAGACAGATGCTGTTCTGGTTTGTGGCTTTACTTCCTTGAGGTCAGCCAGGATGCTGCTCAGATCATGCTAATTTGGCTGTGAAGGAATTCTATAAAATTGGATTCACCCACCAAATATGTGGTGTAAGCATATCTTGGTACTCAAATGATTCAAGTGAAAGCTCAGGTTTAAGTTGTCCTTTAAGATGTCAGTTTAACCGTGCTAGTGCCTTACAAGTTGATATTTTTGCGGGAATGCAGACGATACTATATTTACCATATAATATATTATCAGCTCTCCTATATCTCGGTCAATTTACATAGTTTAAAATAGAACATCTTATTAAAAACATCTAGATTTACACAGATTAGGAAACGCTTACAACATACAAATACACAAACTAGAAATAAATCTTTAGCATACTGGTATATACAACGGTGTGATACAATACATAATTTCAGTCATGCTCTATCTACACATCATATTGCTTAAAAGAAGAGTAGATTTGGAGGGCAGTGGTATGATGAAGGGCTTAGGGACGCTCTACGTTTAAATTTGTGCAAATTAAAACAGGATTTGAAGTATCACTGAATTGTGTTAGGAACACATGGCTGGAAAAATGAAAGGACCCATATTACTGAGGTATTTACAGATACTGGCTAAAGAGCACTATGTGGGCAAATGCAGAAAGGCGGCTTCTTTCCTTTATTTCTTGACTGCCAGCATGGCATCAACTTCCTCCTCTACCTGTAGGGTGTGCCACTGGGCAATGGGTCGCCTGGGGTTGGCCAGCATGTCTGACCAATGTCGTAGTTCCGCGCCGGTGCTGTTGTAGCCCACAAAGACTTTGCCGATGGCATCATTCTTGCCAATCTTGTCATAGTCCAATACAGTTACCACCACTTGCACTTTCTGAAAAGGACACAGAAGAAATGTTAATCAGCCGGCTTCCTTGAGATCTAAGGAATTGGAAATAAGAAGACTCAATCTCCAATTACTGGAACAAGGCTTAAAATAATTTGAATATGAAACCTAAGTCCAATTCCTACTTAGTCATGGTTACATCATCATCATCACCATCAGTATCAAAATAATCAAACTATTAATTTCTATTGTGTATTTGGCACTATTCTAAGTCTTTTACATGAACTAACTCAGTTCCTTATCACAATAAACCCACTGCCATGGAGTCGATTCTGATTCATAGTGACCCTTTAACTAAAAAAATCCCCACAAACTCACTGCGATCAAGTCGGTCCCAACCCATAGCGACCCCTCCTTGGGTTTCTGAGGCAGTATCTCTATGGAGGTAGATTGCTGCCCAATGTTGTTGTTGTTATGTGCCGTCAAGTTGGACCCGACTCATAGTGACCCCTCCTTGCGTTTCTGAGATGGTTTCACTATGGAAGTAGATTGCCCAACCTTCCTTCCAAAGAATGGCTGGTGGGTTTGAACCGCCAGCCTTATGGTTAGCAGTCATATCTCTTAGGCACTATGCCACCAGAGCTCTCAATAGGGCAGAGTAAAACTGTGCCATTAGGTTTCCAAGGCTGTAAATCATTAAGGAAGCAGACTGTTTCACCTATCTCCTGCAGAGTGGCTGATGGGTTGGAATTGCCAGCTTTTTGATTTGAGGTCATATAGATCCTGTTAACATTGCCATTTTACAGATGAGTACCCTGAAGCTCAGGGAAATTCAGTAATCTGCTCAAGGTCATATAGAGAATGAGTGACAGGTAGTTTGGTCTCTGGAGCTCTGGTGGTGTAGTGGAAAAAGTACTTGAGTGCTAATGAGAAGGTCAGCAGTTCAAACCCACCAGCCACTCTGCAGAAGGAAGACTTGGTGATCTCCTTTTGTAAAGATTTACAGCCTCAAAAACCCAGTGGGGATCTCTATGAGTCAGAAATGACAGGATGGCAGTGAGTTAGGTTTGGTTTGAGTTTGGTCTCCAAAGCCCTTGCTTTAAACTACCATGTCATGCTACTGGTGTCCACTTAAGTTAACCTCTAAATCCATTACTGTTTCAGATGTGAAATTTCTGGCACTGTTCTCAATTACAATCCCCAAAGCAATCAGATGTAGCAATCAGGTACAGAAATCCCGTTCCAAGCCAGCATTTTACATAAAACTAATATACAATTTCAGCTAATACTATGATTATCGTGAGTATAAAATGTTATAATAGAGTGAAAGTCTTTAAAAAGTAATAAATATCTTTTTTTCTTATTCATACATTCTTTCAGTAAACATTTAGAGTAGCTACTGTGTCTCTAGCATAGTGCCTAAGGCACTTGACTGCTAACCAGAAAGCTGTCAGTTCAAACCCACCAGCCACTCCTTGGAAGGAAGATGGGGCAATCTAGTTCCGTAGTGATACTGTCTCGGAAACCCAAGGAGGGGTCGCTGTGAGTCAACGGCACATAACAACAACAAAACAAACTGCATACCTGGTAATGACACCATGGAAGTGACCTTGTAGTCCACACAGGCTTATACTTCAAGTGCTTCCATCAGGCTTTGAGGATTTATGAAGAATTTACTTTTTGAAATGAGTGAACTGCCTGTTATGGATTGAATTGTATCCCACAAAAATATGTGTTGTAAATCCTAACATGTATACCTATGCTTATAATCCCTTTGGGAATAGGTTGTCTTTATTATGTTAATGAGGCAGATTAATGTATGGCGTGTCTTAAATCAATCTCTTTTGAGATATAAAAGAGACTGAACAAGCAGGTAAGCAGATGTGAGGGAAGAGAGATGCCAAGCCATATGAAGATCTCCCAGGAGCAGCTCAACATAAATAAGACTTTCCTCCAGGATCCACAGAGACACACTTCTCTTAGAACCAGCACCCTGAATTCAGACTTCCAACCTCCTAAACTGTGAGAATGAACCCAGGTGGTGGCAGTGGTTAAAGCACTCAGTTATGAACAAAGAGGCTGGTGGTTAGAACCTCTGCAAGAAAGATGTGGTAGTCTGCTTCCATAAAGATTATCACCTTGGAAATCCTATGGGGCAGTTCTACTCTGTCCTATAGGGTTTCTGAGTCTGAATCAATTCCATACCAATGGGAAACTGTGAGAAAAGAAATTTCTGTTTGTTAAAGTAACCCACTTGTGCTATTTCTGTTATAGCAGCAGTACATAACTAGGGCAGTGGCTGAAAGAAAATCTATATGGTCGTAGTATGAAAGAAACACTTTTTAAAAGCACATTTTAGTTGTCCTTCTTAAGCAATGAATTTGCTTAGTTGGAATATGTGATGGTGCCAATCTAGAAATTGAATATAAGGATAAAAGGAGAGTTTTAGAAGAAATTAAAATACATAACATTTGATAGCCAGAGTTAAAAAAGAGCAGAAAGTAGAATTATAAAATCGAGGTGTAGCTGAAGATCCAGATGAGTTATCACCCATTAGTGAGTGGTCTTTTTGCATTGGGAACTGCATTACTGCACCTCTGTGCTGAGAAATGTCACTGATGTACAGCCTTCCGTACAGAGAAAATGGTCACTTCTAGAAGTGGACTTTAGAGTATAAAATGCAATACACTGAAAATAAAGGAGACAAACTCCCACCTTCACTACTGCAGTATTGGATTGATTCCATTATCGAAGGAATTATATATCTACTGGGAGGCATTTGGAATTGAGACTAGGCTCACCTTGGCTCTCAGAACTTTTCCTAAGCAAATTCATCAGGATGCAATCACATCACAGGGAATGGAGATGGGTGTGTCGGGGGACGACGACACTATGCACAAAGGTAATAGGGGTTTTCAGAGTCTGGAATGAGTTTTGACTATTCCACTTAGGAATGCATTGATTAGTAGCACTCAAGAAAAAATATACTTGTGAAGGCCTTGGATTAATTTTTCTAGCTCCACATGTATTTTATTTATATACACATTTGAAAGGGAAGGGGCAACACTTTCATGTGCTTTTGGAAATCAGCATATTTTCCTCTGTCATAGTACATTTCTTAGGAATAAAGCAAGACAGAAGGACAATCAGATAATCCTATAACCTCATGATGGGAGATATTTAAACCCCCATTTTAGCATGTGAGATACTCAATTGCTTTCTCTCTTTAAAAAGAAAGAAAGAAAGAAAAGATAGCCTTCTGGGGGGAAAAATTGATTCCAAGAGCAGAAAAGAAGGAATGCAGTCAAACACTTGCCTGTTATTTTCATGCCTAATGTTCTTCAAGGGTCTATCTATCCTGACAAAATGTTATCTCCTCCAGAATGCTGCCTCAGAAACCCAACAGGTCTTTTTAATGTGCTTCACTTTCAATATATTTGGATCAGCTGTCATTTATAGTTGAAGAAGAACATTTATTTTAAAAAGATAGAATTGTTGCTCCAAGGAGAAGCTTTACAATAAGATTTTCCATCTCAATGCTCTGGCTTATATTGTTTTGCAGAATTAAAAAAAAAAAAAAAAAAAGCCAAGAAGGAATAAGTTCCAAAAGAAAAAAGGCCTAAAAACAAAAAAAATTTCACTGAACAAATATTGCAAAATAAATTGTTGGAGAAAATTAAGTGTCCTCAGGGTTTGCCAGTGGGTCTGAAACAGTGGGTTCAGTGGTTCAGGCTAGTGAACAAGTGACTGGGGACAGGGAGGCTGGGTCCTCTTCAATGTCAGTTACTAATAAAGCAGCTGTTGAGAGTAGTAGCATGTACAATTTGGCATCACATGATGCTATATAAGAGAAAGGTTATAATAAAAACCTAAAGCTATTTGAGGATGGTGGGATTATAGATGATTTTTGGTCATTTCAAATTACAGCATACAGTACAATAGCTATTAGCCACATATGGCTGTTTAAATTTAAATAAATTAAAATTAAATGAACTTTAAAATTCAGTTCCTCAGTTGTACTAGCCGTATTTCTAGTGCTCATTAGCCATCTGTTGCTCGTGGCCATCATAGTGGTAAGTATGGATGATAAAACATTTCCATCATTGCAGAAAGTACTATTAGACAACACTTATTTAGAAACTGCTTTAATCTTATTGCTAGATTAGTTTTCTAATTAAATATTGCTATGGGTTGAATTGTGTCCCCAAAAAAGATACGCTGACGACCTAAACTTCAGTACCTGTGAATGTGGCCTTGTTTGGAAATGAGACATTTGGAGATGTAATCAAGTTAATATGAGGTCTTTAGGGTAGGCCCTAATCCAGTATGACTTGTGTCCTCATAAGAATAGAAGATGACACACAGACACACAGAGAAGAATGCCATGTGACATCAAAGGCAGAGACTGGAGTGATGCAGCTGCAAGCCAAGGAATGCAAAGGATTGGGCAAAACCAAGAGAGAGGCATGAAATATGTTATCCCCTAGAGCCTTCAGAAGGAGCTCCGGTGGCTTAGTGCCTAAGGCACTTGACTGCTAACCAAAAGGCTGGCAGTTCAAACCCACCAGCTACTCCTCAGAAGGAAGGTTAGGCAATCTACTTCTGTGGTGATAGTGCCTCGGAAACTCAAGGAGGGGTTGCTATGAGTTGAGTCCAACTTGACGGCACATAACAACAACAGTCTTCAGAGAGAGCATGGCCTTGCCAACACTATGATTTTGGACTTCTAGGGCCAGGTGCGGATGCGGCCCGACCATGCAACTCCCATCTTGGGAGCTCTGGTAGCATAGCACCTGAGGCACTTGACTGCTAACCAGAAGGCTGGTGGTTCAAACCCGTCAGCCAGTCCTCGGAAGGAAGGTTGGGCAATCTACTTCCATAGTGATACCTCCTCGGAAACCCAAGGAGGGGTCGTTATGAGTCAGGTCCGACTCGATGACACATAACAACAACAATATCAGAAAATATATTTCTATTAAATCACCCAGCTTGTGGTAATTTGTTATGGCAGCCTTAGAAAAGTAATACAAATATTAAAAAGAGACAATATCAGCATTGTGAATAATAATAATGACTGGAACCATTTACTGAGTGTACCTTATGCTTGGCACTCGTCATAGTGCTTTATATGCATAATCTCATTTGATGTGAATGTTGTTATTGTTCCTATTTTGCATGTGAGAAAATTATAAGCCCCAGTGTCTTATCTATAAAACTAGGATAACGGCCCCTCTCATAAGGTTATTGTGAGGATTATATGAGATTACATATGGAGAATGCTTCACTTAATTTCATATGTAGAATGCTTAACTTGGATCTAGGCATATAATAAATACACAATAAATGCAGCAATTATATTAGCTTTCCTCATGAATGGAGGTGTGATTCACTCATAAGATATTATATTCTAAAAATATATTAAAAGCAAAAATTTGCAACTCAAGAATATTTGCTGACTTTTAAAATTCTGGGACTTTAAATTCCATGCTGTAGATTTTTGTATGTCTTCCCTTTTCTCCTTCAAGTCATAGGGAAACTTTTACACTCAAAAAAGAAAGGGGAAAAAACCAAACTCACTGCCATCGAGTTGATTCTGACTCATAGCAACCCCCTCTGGGTTTCTGAGGTGGTAAATCTTTACAGAAGTAGATTGCCTGGTCTTACTTCCACAGAGTGGCTGGTGGGTTCGAACTGCCAACCTTTAAAATGTATAAATAAAATGTAATAGCTTTAAGGAGTTTGAATCTCTGAACCTCACTAAAAATTAGTAAGAAATAGCCTGTAATTATTGGATATGATCTTCTGATTCTGAGTTTCACTAAATATGAAGTGACAAAATTTAAATACATTTCTAAAAATCCCTAAATAATAAGACACATTTATCACTGTGGCTGTATGTAGCATCCTATTGTGAACATGTTAATCACATTCTATTTTAGTAGAATATTTCCTTTCATAACCATTATTGTCTAGCAAATTAATGTTTCATATTTACAAATATATCCATCCATTTCAACTTAGACACAGAAAGTTGAATTTAAACACTCAAAAATATCAATTTAGCTGAATTTTCCTCATTTAATAATTAAAGACAAAAGATGCTGCATGTTGTTCTTATCTCTATCAGTTGGCTATAAAGATGTGATAAGGAATATTACATATTATGGCCTGGTGGTAAATAGTTAAAACTCATCTTCTTTTGGCCTTTTAACTTTTGTGGATGCACTTTTTTACTTAGCAGACTTGTTCTGTTGATTTTCTTTTTCCTACTTTATTTCTGATAAGCAGAAGAGGCCAGCTGTTTCTGGCTAATGAATCAGCACACCCTGTGCTTTATATTTTATTGTTTCCCTTTTGAGGTAACTCGAGCATCAAATGTGCATGGGAATGAGAACGGCAGCCCTAATGAACTCATGAACACTGATAATTTATAAGGTCTGTATGTATAATTCATGTGGTCTGAAGGAATGAAATTGAACGGAAAGGCAAAATTATGTTTGGTATTACCTGGATTTGCTCAAAAGGTACTTCAAAGCTGAATGACTCATTGTAGTAGGGGTTAAGTGTGTTCTTTTTAATTGTTGTCTTTTTCTTCTTCAGCCTCTTGCCATTCTGCATCAGATGAATCTTCACATAAGGATCTGAAAAGCAAAACAAAAATCTTAGGGGATTAGATCATAATTTAGATCTACATCATAATTTAATTTATAAAAGACCAAATATTTGCAGCAGGTAAATAATTGTATAGCATATGTTTAGTTTTTCTTTTTAATTTCAAGAAATTATTATTATTATCTTAAGACTTTAAGTGAGATGTGAGGTATGGTTTTTGTCATATTTCAATATTTACAGTTGTGTTTAGAAAGTAGGAGCAGTGGTAAACTAGCTCTTTGAAAAGTTCTTTGATATGTAATATTGCCAATGTCCATGGTACAAATACTTTCTCCATAGCCAATTTCAAGCTAGCAACAGTTTAACAGCTGGCTTACAAAATTTCTAAAAATTTAACAATTGTATCTCATTAGTTAGCAAAGAACTGGCTGCAGTACATCATGATATGGGAATAAACTCTTAATAGAGAGAAGACAAAAGATCCATTCATTCATTCATTCATATATTCATCATGCATTCACTTAATCAACCAACACTAGCTGAGTGCCTATGATGTGCTAGGCACTAAGTTAAGTGCTAGAGAAGAGTAGTGAACAAAATAGCCCTTGTCTTCATGATGCAGGCTTAGACTCAGACAATAGCTTGTACAGAAATGTAAAAACATGAAAGTACAAGTTAAGAGTGCTCTAGAAAAAAAAGAGCAGGACAGACAAATTATGGAGAATACCAGGGACAAATGGTGGGTGGTTGCCATAAGTAGTAATCAACTCACAGCAATTGTGTTTTAATTTTCTTTCTGTTTTTTCAGTGGTGAGATGTAAGGTAAGAATGGAATTGTTACATAGAATGTACTCAGGTAAGGCCTCTCTGAGGAGGTAACATTTAAGCTCAGCTGCAAAGGTTGAAGGTGAGAAGAAGCCAGCCTGGAAAATCCTGGAGACTCTCCCATATTAAGGTCCTTAACTTTAATCACTTTACAAAGTCTCTTTTGCTATGTAAAGTGATTATGTTCACAATCGGAAGAGTAGGATATGGCTGTCTGGAGGGTGGGGGAGGACATATTATACTGCCTACCACATTTGTGAACATTAGAAACAAAAAACCAACATAGTACATTCAAAAGAGTTGTCAGTATACAAAATTTTGAGGGTGATTTCATCACAATATCTTGAAAAATCTCCAAATCATAATAGCTACTATGAGAGAAAGGTAATAAAGTCCAACCAGGCTCATTTTAGACAAAATGAAAACCTGATAAATGGTAGATGAAAGGTAGCAGTGCAACATCGAAAGCAAAACCAAATGATAGAGTGAAAATTATCCAAAAGGTGTCAATGAATCTGCACTCATTTTATCTGCAGTGTATTTCTTATTAAGATTGAATAACCTTTTTTCTGACCTCAGTCCATCATTTTACAGAGTGAAAAGTTAGTCATGCACTATTAGGAGCTAGAGAGACATCTTAAAAGAGATTTTCCTTTCTACCAAGTTTTTTTTTTTTTTTTAAAAAAAGAAAAACTTAAGAGAAGTTAACAAAGTGAAGAAAGTGAAGTGTTCCCAGCCTTGTGTCTGTTTATCAGCAACAAGGATTATCTAAATGGTGTTGAAGAAGGTTGTCAGTCTTTAAATGTACCCTTTTTGGTGAACAGAATGAAGCTATGCAACCACAAAGATAGTGATGCCATACATCCTGTCCAGCAGCTGTACTCAGGAAAGCAATAGCAACATTAGTGAATATCATTACAGCCTATTTTGTCATTTCCATGAAATTCCATATAATGATTCCATATACAATCACCAGCAATTTTATTTTTTTCGTATGTGTGTGTGTGCTTTACAGATTTTTAAAAACTTTTTTTAAATTATGGTTTGGGTGCAGTTTTACAAAGCAGATTCATTTTATATCCAACAGTCCATACACATTTTGTTTCGTGACACTGATTACAATCCCCACAAAGTAACAGCTCTCCTCCCACCTCTTCCCTGTGGTTACCCCTTCTCTGTGTCCTCCTTACCTATGCATTCCTGCCTGTCTAGCTTTCTCCTGTGCAAATACTGCCCTTGTGGTCTCCCTGGTTGATTGTTCTAAGGAGTGCATCTCCCTAGTATAGTTTGTTCAGCTTGTAGGCCTCTCTGTTGTTTAACTGAGAGGTAAGCCATAGGAGTGAGTCCAATTCCAGGCCTGGAGGATAATTTGAGGCCATGGTCTCAGGGGTTCACCAATCTCTTTCAGACCAGTAATCCTGGTCTTTTTTATGTCTTTGAATTTTGTTGCACATATTTTTCTCCCACTCTATCCTGGATCACCAATTTGATCCCTTTCTGAGTAGTTGACAGTAGTAGGGGGCACCATCTCCTTCTTCTGGTCTCAGGGATGTGTAGGCCAAGGTTCCTGTTGTGCATTAGACCCATGTACTAACTGTTCCCATACATTTTTTATTTTCTTCACTCTTCTTTGCTCTGGACAAGGAGAGACCAATAGTTGGATCCTAGATGGCCACTTGCAAGCTTTTAAGACTCCAGTTGCTACTTCCCAAAGTAGGATGTAGAACAAGTTTTTGTGTGTTCTGTTGCGCCAATTAAGCTTGATATTCCACACAACCATGATCCCGAGTCCACAGACAGCAACTCACTCCCTCAAGGTGCTTGGTTGTGGCTTAGAAATTATCATAACTTTGTTGCCTGTTAGCTCTATAATGTATATGGACACTTCTATAGCACACAAAAAGGAGCTCTGGTGGCAGAGTGCCTAAGGCATTTGACTGCTGATCAGAAGGCTGGTGGTTCAAACCCAACAGCCACTCCTTGGAAGGAAGGTTGGGCAATCTACTTCCATAGTGAGACTGCCTCAGAAACCCAAAGAGGGGTCGCTATGAGTCAGATCTGACTCGAAGGCAGTGGGTTTTAAAACAGTAGCAACAAAAGAATTGATAACACGATACATAAACAAAACAAGCTCAGCATAGAAAATTATATGGAACAAAGAAATCGACACCATGAAAAAGAACATAACAAAAATGACAGCAACAAATTCATATTTGCTGATAATTACATATCTGGCAAGGGACTTATCTCTAAGAGTTGTAGAAAACTCCAATGCCTCAACACCAAAGGAATTAACAATCCAATTGAAAAATGGGTAGAAGACATGAATAGACTCTTCACCAAAGAGGATATTCAGGTGGCCAACTAATACACGAAGAGATGCTCACAATCATTGGCCATCAGAGAGATGCAAATCAAAACAACAATGAGATACTGTCTCACCCCAGCACTGATGGCAAAGTTCAACAAGACAGAAAATAACAAATGCTGGATGGGACGTGGAGAGATTGGGACTCTCAAACACTGCTGGTGGGACTGTGAAGTGCTACAACCACTGTGGAAAGCAATATGGTGATTCCTTTGAAAGCTGGAATTGGAGATAACATTTGACCCAGCAATCGCATTACTAGGTATATATCCTAGAGAGCTGAGAGCCAAGAGGGAACAGATATATGCACACTCATGTTTATCGCAGCACTATTTACAATAGCAAAAAGATGGAAACAACCTACATGACCATCAGCAGAAGAGTAGATGACCAAACTGTGGTACCTACACATAATGGAATGCTATGCAGCACTAAAGAATAATGTAGAGTCTGCAAAACACCGCATGATATGGATGAACTTGGAAGACATTATGCTGAGAAATAAGTCAATCACAGAAAAACAAATACAGTATTAGTTCATTGTTGTGGAGGGTCAAGGAAAGGTTTATATATGGAGGGAAACTTTCTTTGTTGGTTGCTAGGGGTGGGAAGGGAGGGGAGGGCACACTGCAAAAAAAAAGTGCATCGACCCATGTCACTTTAGTTTTGTGTATTTCACGTACATAAATCACATTTCAATAAAATGCATTTAAAAAAAATACTATTTTTTTTAGCGGGGAATAGGTTTGTTGGCCCGAGGGAGCCTGGTGGAACCACTGAGACTATGGCCCCTACCTGCCCTTCAGGTCTGGAATTGAACGCACACCTGTGGCTTCCAGCCAAACAATAGACAGGCATATCAGTTTAGCATTTACTTGAGGTAGATACACTCCTTGGAGAGAATAAGCATGAGATAAGGAAGGGCTGCCCAGGCACAGGGAGACAGCTCAGGGGGTAGGAGTGCATGGAGGGATGGTCACAGGGAAGAGGTAACTATCAGGAGGAAGTGGGAGGGGAGATGTTGCATTGTGCTAAATTGTAGTCAATGTCATGAGACAAAGTGTATGTGTATGTGAACTGCTCTATGGAAAGTGTATTTGCGCTGTAAATTTTCACCCAAATCACACACACACACACACACACACAAAGACATGAGAAAAAAATTTACTATTTTTTAAAGCCAAGACCACCAAAAATTTCATCATCCAAAGATGTAATTAGTACAGATGTTTCAGTATCAATGGTAAAATTTGTGAAAATGAATGAAATGTTAACCAAGAAAGATTTTTAAAGTAAGAGTCAGTATAAATTTTAAAATAATAATGCTCCTTGGTATTTATACTTAGTTTACACAGAGTCAGTCCTCCAGATCTGAGGGTTCGGTATCTGCAGATTCAACCAACTGTGGGATTGAAAATATTGGGGGGGGGGGAGGGCAGGGGAAGCAATCAAGTGGTCAAAACAATCCCTCAAAGGCTAGGAGGGTGCTTAGAGAGCTATTTATATAGCATTTATATTGTATTAAAACTCAAACTCACTGCCATCGAGTCCATTCTGACTCATAGTGTCCCCATTGGGTTTCCAAGGTGGTAATTGTTTACAGAAGTAGATTGCCCCATCTTCCTTCTGAGGAGCAGCTGGTGGGTTTGAGCCACTAACTTTCTGGTTAGGAGTCAAATGCCTTAGGCACTGCACCAGTATTAAAAATAATCTAAAGATGATTTACAGTCTATAGGATGATATACATAGTTTATATACAAATACTACATTTTTTTTACAAGAACTTGAACATCTTCAGATTGTGGTATCTGCAGGGGGTCTTGGAACTCATATGTG